TGGTGGCACATGCCTGTAGTCCCAGCTACTCGGGAGGCTGAGGCAGGAAGATCGCTTGAGCCCAGGAGTTTGAGGTTGCTGTGAGCTAGGCTGACGCCACGGCACTCTAGCCAAGGTAATAGAGCCAGACTCTGTCTCAAAAAAAATAAAAAATAAAAAAAATAAACATAGGAGGAATGATAAAATTAGAAAATAACCATTTTGCAACCTCAGTGAAATAATGGACCTAAGCAATAATCATACATGGCTGCAAAAAGCATTAGGTGAAAGGCTGATTGGCAGCTTCACAATGGATGAATCAGGCTTGCAATCTACCGATTGATGTTAACATCATTAAAAGAGAGAAAACTGGACAGCACATTCTTCCACATGATTCAATAGCAAGTGGACAGCACCCTCAATGAGGAATTTTTCAACAAAAAAAACTTAAACCTGGATCTAGTCAATTCTCTGAATCTAATTACCAGTTTACAGGAAATACTGGGATAGAGAAACATGTTAAATGACACCATGAGGATTTGGTGGGAAATGCCTACAGGACAAACGACCCAGTTTCCTCAAAAAATCAATCACGTGGGAAAAGGAAGGACAGGGAAAAATTGTTTTATATTGAAAGAGACCTAAGTGACATACCCACAAAATGCAATGCTGTATCTTTTTTGGAAACTGACTTGAACAAACCAACTGTAAAAGCCCATTTTTGAGACAACTTGGGAAATTTGAACATTGGCTGGTAAGTAAATGATATTAAAGAATTATAGTCAATTTCATTATAAGTAATAATGTTGTGTTTAATTTTTTTTAAAAAGACAGCATTTTTAAAAGAGCACTTTTACATACATTTTCCTAATGCTGGATATCCAGAGGATGTCCAATAAATGCTGGTTATTAATGACAAGAGTAACATTCCCCTGCAAACTTTCAATTCCCCCCCAAAATAAAAGGATAAACCCTTCACCTGTTATTAAATGCCACTATCCTCCTCACAACCAGCCCCAACCATACTTCCCAAGGCTCCTCTTTATGCTACTATACTTCCAGAGAAACTGGATTATTCACAGTATTTTGTGTAGGTCTCACACTTTTCTTCCGCAACACTTTGAAGGCCCTGGAATGCCCTTCCACTATCTTTATTTGTCCAAATCCTACTTACCCTCTAAAAGATCCATCCCAAAAGTTAGCTCCTACATAAAAGCCTTCTTTGAACCTTCCATTAGAAGTAATTATTCCCATGGTTCACCTGTGACATCTACAACATCCTTATACAGCACATTTTTTAAGGTGCACTCATGCAACACATAATTATTAAGTACCTACTATTGGTCTGCACATCCAACAAATATTTACTGAACACCTTCTATATTTTGGGTCTGTGTTAGGGGCCAAGCATGCTACAATGAAGAGACAAACACTGTCTAGACCTCATAGAGGTTACCGTCTGGTAAATGAAGACCACAATTACACTAATTACATAAGAAATTACTCACAATTATGGGAAGTGTTACAAAAGAGAAGTCTAGGAACTATGAGAGGCTATAACAGAGGTGTCAGACACAATTCGGCCCCGCCACAAAAGGAACATGATTCAGGATTAATTACTTCTTAAATGAATGCACTATGCCCCTCAATTTTTCACAATGCAGCTCTCTTGGAATGTTTGGGCCTTAAATAAAATATGTAAAGCCATATCTTGACACAGAGTAGGTCCTCAAGAAATAAAAGTTAGTTTTTTCATTAGGTGCTGTGCCCATTTGGAAAGAAACACATTAGAGTTTGGATCCTAATCCCCTAGCTCTATGCCTGCCAAAAGATAGTAACCTAACAACCATTTCGGAAGTTAAGTAAAACAGGAAAGGAAGGAGTATGTAATAAAAACATTCAGCGTTTGCATCAGGAATCTCCTTGAGATGTCAAGTATCATTACTCCCATTTTAGAGGTGAAGTAACTTTGGCTTGGGGAAAGAATGGGATCCAACAATATGGTAATAGAGGTTCCAGCTCCAGGGCATCAGCCCCATACTTCACCCCTCCGTAACTCAACAACTGTAACTCTAGAAAGAGCCGCTGATCCGCAGACCTCGAACGAGGCCTGGGGCTCTTCCCACAAGGCTTTGCAGCGTCGCAGAGAACTCTGGGATACAAATGGATAAACAAATCTAAGGCAAGGGCCGAGACTTGGGCCTGAGAAACTGCCTCGTAAGCCAGCCGAATGCCTTCTTCGGTCCGTTTGTGTGCTTACCTTTCCTGGAGCTCCCGCTATCTGGGGCCTCACTAACCCCTGCAAAGGCAGGGAACAGCGCCATGACTACAGGACGCACTGCCGTTTCTCTCTACAGAAATGGCGCCAGCGAGCGAGCGCCGGTCCGAGGCCTCCGCCGTCGCGGTGCTCTCTGGGAAGTGTGGTTTTCCTGGCGCTTGCTGGGGCGTGACCCCAGACCAGGAGGGGAAGGGCGGGTCCAGGAGGGGCGGGGCTTCTTGGGAGTGGGAACGAGGCGGGGCGGGGCGCTGCAGGAGGGACGGCTTCCTAGTGGTTAGCACCCTGAGAGAACCGGAAATACAAAAACCGGGAGACGGAATTATTCAGAGCAGAAAGGGACTAGAAAATTCGGATTCTAATTCGACCTCTAGACTGACGCCGTCTCTTGCTTACTGGTCAAGTTAATCGAATGCTCTAAGCTTGCCTCATCTGAAAAATGTTGGGAAAATTAAATGAACATATTTAGGAAGTGTTTCGCATTGTGTCTGGCCCGTGGAAGGCATTTCATATATGTTGTTTAATATTATGTGAGTTGTGACTGCAAGTTCAACTCAAAGACATGCGAGATATACAAACTTCAATCCGGTTGCCATTTTAAATACTCTCGAAAAATGAAAGGTTTTATCAAGTTCAAAGGTCTTTGATACTTAGAAAATACATTTACCTGCTCATGAGGTATTCTTGACAAAAATAAATAATCTGAATCTAGTCAAGCCTGCTACCAGAAATATAGGGGATAAAGGAACAATTTGAAAGACTTCATACCACCTAAAAGCAATCAGCCAAATCTCAAATGTGGGAATTATAGAAAACTAATAACTGGATTTCTTTAACAAATCAATCGCTTTTAAAGGGCAGGAGATTGCAATAGATTAAAAGAGTTTAGAGACCTGTCAACCAAATGCAATATATGACCTCATTATGATTCTGATCGGACAAATTGTAAAAAGACCTTTTTTAAGACAGAAAAATAAGATGGACAGAGTATTACATGACATCAAGTAACTTGTGAGTTCTTTTAGATGTACTAATGGCACTGAGGTTCCTTTTTAAAGTTTTTATATGTTAGAGACACATACTGAAGGATTTGTAAGAAAAAATAGATAAATGAAAATATACTTCTTTGGATCCCAGGGAGTTATAAGATCTTTAGAATTAGATAGGAAATACATTAGAAACCAGAGATACAAATCTAATCATCTAATCAAGGGATGGATGGACTCTTGTAAAGGCTGCAGACCTGTGTGAGAACTAGGTCTTGTGAGTCCAAAATCAACACCCTTAAAAAGCTTTGAAATCTTTGACATAGTACGTACAAAAAGGGACTTAGAATGACAGTAGGAGCAGTAATCCCCTGCACATCTGCAACTTTAAATCTCAGGTTCTTCTGAAGGAAATGAGTCACTAAGAGATAAGTATTTTAACAAAAAAAAAAGAAAAAGGAAAAATATAAAATCTCAGGTCCTGCCAAAATCTCTGACTCTAAATTACCTCAATTAATTGGAGCAGCATTTGCCTTTCTTAGCCAATCACTTCAGGTAACTGGGATGGAAACATTCTTCCCCAATGCTTCATATCTTTCCCCCAGAAAAATAATTAATATGGACAGTTTAAGAAATTAAAACCACAATAATAATGTTTCTGTACTAAGGAACCTGGGCATATTAGGTATATTGTGTACTTAATAATGTGTAAGAGAATTTGGCTTAAGAAGAGATCCCCCTTATGAGAACAATTTAAAATGTGTAATCAAGTAACTGTCGTAGACTCCTGGTTTTAAGCTGAAATCTTTTTTTTGAGACAGAGTCTCACTGTGTTGCCC